TTGGCAGTTGCGTGCTGTTTCGCCATCGTTCATCGAAGAAAATGAAAATGTGGTGCCTGATAAATCCCAAAACTTAATTAAAATTGAAGCACGAAAAACCATATGGAAAAACATTGAAAAAAAAAAAAACAGCTGGCAGCTGCAGGCGGAAAAAAGCTTTAAAACATTTTAGTTTGATAAAAAGTTGCAGAAAAAAAGACTGAAAACACCAGAGAAAGGTCTAGGGTCAAAGACCTCTGGGCTTTAAAATATCATTAAATATTCAATGGATTATAAATTGTTTTTGCAACTAAAAATTTCGTTTTATTTTTGTAGTTTCTATTTAATAAATATGTGAGTGTTTCTTTGCTTTTTATTTCATATTTAATATTCTAATGCCGCCAATTTATTTGAAGCTTTGGCCGCTTTTCCGAGTGTGTTTTTGTTTGTTTGTTTGTTTGTTTTTTTGTGGAATTCAATTAGTTACAAAAATGCATTTTAATTAAATGAAAACTTTTAGCCAGAAACAGAGCCTGCCCCTGGCCCTCTCTGCTTCGATGGGGAAGAAAAACGAAATAAAATTTCTACGAAATTTAATATTGATTGAAATATTTGGAATGCCATTTGAAAGCGAAACAAGGAAGGAGTAAGGAGGAGCCATTTAATCATGCAACATACGCGGATTCTCAGCTGTCGCCCCCTCGGCCCCCGCCCCCCCCCCCCCCCCCCCCCCCCCCCCTCTCGCTGTAGCTGCACTTTCACTCTATTTTTAGGCCTTCTCCAAAGGCATGGGTTTTCCCTCCTCTCCTCTCCTCTCGCTCTCTCTCAATTAGTCAGCTGCTTGTCGCCCCGAAAAGTGTCAAAATATTTTTGCTAGAAAACACATCGTTTTTCCTCCTGCATTTCCCGCCGGCTGCCACTGCGTTTTGCTCAGCATTTCTATTTTCCTTAGCGATTGAATCACAGAATCAGTTTTCAACATTTGGCCAAGAGCCATGGCACTTGAGCGGGCGGCAGGAGTGGGGGGGCAAGAGGTGGCATGCCTGACTGCCGTGTGGCATGGCCAAAATGTCACGTATACGTCGTGTGGCCTGTGCCGCCTTTTGCCGCTTCCACCGCTCCACCGCTCCTCTTGTGCGGTTCTCTGCCTCTGCGCTTTGTTTCTGCCACTTCTTGTGCCTCGTGTCATTCGCTTCTTAGTTCCTCGTTTGTGTTCCGCCTTTTGTTTGGCCTTTCTTTGAGGTAATTACGTCATTAACAAGAAATTTGGAAAGTGCCTCTCATTTGCGGTGATGGGGCATGGTTTGAGAAGGATTGGGCGTTATATAGAGCTACTTTCGGGGCAAGCAAAGATGTAAATGGAAATGGGAAGATTTCAGAGGAATTGGGAGCGGGGAGCAGGGGGTGGGGAGCTTCTACTTCCTGGAATATGAGCCCCCATTGCCTTTCCCCCATCGATGCCCCATCATTTGTTGTGCATTTTCCTGCGTTTTTTTGTTCTCTAATTAGATGTTGACGAATACTTGTGGCACTCACTGTGCCCGCCTCTCTTTGTCCCCCGTCTGCTGTGTGTTTTGCTTTGCTATTTTTTGCGCTTGTTGCATGCCTCACTGGACGCCCACACGCCCACACGCCCACACCAAAACCCATTTCAGGGGCCATTGAACCCTCTTCTGAGTCAATGCCACTCAAACGGTTTGTGTGGCAGCGCTGTGCGTGTACCTTCCACCTACAGATACACCTGTATCTGCGCTAACTCCTACTTGTATCTGCGGCTCCTGCCCAACCCTCCCTGTCCCCCCTTTGAGGCTTGGTGTTCGTCTGGCTGTGACATTGATTCCTCTGCTGGAACTTTGATGTTTGCATCTCTCTATCTGCCACACGCGGCACTCGTTAATGCAGTGCCACAACCACGCCACGCCACGCCACGCCACGCCCATGCCACGCCCATGCCGTACAACAAGCTGCACTTGCAACTGCACAAAAACTTTTACTGCATTTAATTAAATAAGTTTTTACTTTTTGGCCAAGCTTTCCAGCTGCCTCCCCCACGGATTTCCCCCCCTCTTTGGGGCTCTAAAGGTTTGAAGATTCGAATTTTGATTCCCTTTCGAGCCCTAAATGTAGATCCTATAGCTGCTATATATCCTTTATGATATCCTGCCAAGATGCCTCCCAGAGGCAGCCCTGCCTTCGTTGAAGAAGGGGTTGGGGTGGGGTGGGGTTGGGGTTTGGGGACAACAAATTTATCAAAAAACTATTAACGTTGGCGCCGCCATTCTATGCAAATCACAATTGCTGTGTACAGTGTACAGTGAGTGCAATTTGTATGCCGCCAGTCGTCAGTGTGCGTGTGTGTGTGTGTGTGTGGGTCTGTCAAGGGGCATTAGCATCATTCCCATCCACAGAGGCAGGCGGGGAGGCAGGGAGGCGGGGAGGCATGCGACAACAGCATTATAATCATATTTCCAGTTGAACATAGAGATTGGTTGTTGGTTGTTGGTTCCTTCTTGCCCCACCGCCCTCAGCCCGCGGCCCTCGGTCCTCCTTCGATCGTTATAGCCTCGTTTTAAAAGTCAACAACACGCTTACAACGGAACGACTCTCTCGAATGGTGGTTCCCCTGTAATTGAGTTGCATTTAGGGAGAGAGACAGGGAGGGAGGGCGGCTATGTACATATTTCTATGCAAAGTATCTCATAAATTGCTCTTGGCTCGAGATTCTTGGCTTTTATGCATTGTTTAAGCCAAATTGGTTTTTGGAAAATAGCCACACCCCCCCATCCCCCCAAGAAGCCACTCCAGAGGGACACAGGACACACACTTTAACCAGAGATTTATTCAAAAGAGTGCTTTATTTTCCATATTTAATTGTCAAAATCAGACACATTCTGTGGCACAAACAGGTTTCAAGAGTTTTTTGTTGTTTTGTTGTTGATTTGTTCAATGGGATTATCTGCTCGGCTGGGGGGGTGGGGGGGGGGCAGTGTGTGGGTTTCACTCGAGCGTTACTCTACTCTCCACTGAAGCCCCAAGACAACTGATTGAATCAAGTGCCAATTTCCTTAAACGGAGAAGGCGGCAAATCAATAGATGGACGGGAATACTCGCCGTCTTTATTCTCTCTTTGTGTGCGTTTTCTGTATTTCAGGAAGTGTGAATGGCTAATGACGGACAGAAGACAGATAGAATGTCAGTGGAGTGTCGTTTGGTCTATCAAATGGTCGAGAATGACTAATAAAACTGGAATTGTCAAGGCTACAGAGAATAAACATAAAATGTAGATCGACCATGACAAATGTTGGAAAAAGAAAACCAACGGTAGAGGAAAATAAATCTAAGAAAATATCATTCAAGGACCTAAATGGAATAAAAGAATCGAAACATCTACCAAATGCAGTATCAGCAATCATTTCAGTATTAAAAACTATCAAAATCCATGGAAAAACTCTTAAAAAATACCAAACAAAATCTTAAAATTTCAAGAAATACATAAAAAACAAAAACTACCATCTAGAAAATCTAGAAAAAAAAATAACACCAAGAAAATTCAAAAATACCAAAAAAAACCCAAACTGAGCACAATTTTTCAGAAAACTGCAATAAATACCAAGAAATGCTATACAAAATACCACCAAGCAAATGAAAAAATACCACCAAGAAAACACAAAATACCTAAAAATAACCAAGTACATACTGAATACGGTTTTTCACAAAACTGCAAGAAATACTGAAAAATACAAAAATAACACCAAGACATGCGAAACAAAATACCACCAAGAAAATACAAAATACCAAAAAAAAACCAAGTACATACTGAATACGGTTGTTCATAAAACTGCAATAAATACCGAAATAACACCAAAAAATGCTATACGAAATACCAAACCAAAAACGTAATCCCTTGGGGGCTGTTCGATCTGTATTTTCGTGCCAAAAGTGGATTCTGTTAGTTTTCCCAATGGAAAATCCCAGAAAAAAAATCTATAATTTATTTATCTATAATTTTCTATAATTTTAAGAATCTTTCGAATCGATTTTCCTGCCATTTTTCATCGACAACTTTCGGCGCTGCCTTTTTTTTTCTCTATCAAAACCCATAAATTACTCGGTTTTTTTTTTCAACAACAAAAACGAAAATCTTCAATCATTATGGGCAATCAACAAAAGCAGGGAAAACAGACACTCCCTAGGCCCGCCAGCCCCACACCCCCCCTCGGATGGTGTTGCTTGCCCCGTCAGTGGATAATTTGAAAAATTGCAAAACAGAAAACAGAAAATTATTTTCATGCCTCAACGAACATGCAAATAAAGCGGTATTTTGTGCTCTCTGCTAAATGGATATTATTATATGATCGAAAGAAAACTCAATTATAAAGGGGGGGGCTGCGCCTCAGGGGGGGGAGGGAAGGGAGAGGGGGTGGGTGTGGGTGTGTGGGATCGTCTAACCAGAAATAAACCTCAAAAATGCAGTCGATTCTATTTTAAGTGTGGATTATTTTTAGGTTTCTGTTGTGTAAATATTCTCCGAGTTGATTATTTATTTATTTATTTGTTTTTTTTTGGAGGGGGGATTCATGCGGTGGCGAAGTGCATTTGGGGATCCGCCGCGGCTTCTGCTTTCCCCTGTGTGTTTGGGTCTCTAAGGGGTCACGCCCCTGTTTATTATGGAAGACCATGCTCCATGCTCCATGCTCCACGCTCCACTGATTTATGTTTCAAATTTCGAAAAACATGGAAATTCTCTCTCTCTCGCTCTCTCTCTCTCTCTCTCTCTCTCTGTGTGTGCGTGTGTGTTTTCTTTTGTCTTTCTCTTTGTTTTGTTTTGTTTTTGTCAAAGTTTTCCCAACTTTGATTTGGATTTAAAGTGTATATATGCTGGTTTTTTTTCTTTGTGGCAAGAGGCAATAATTATGCAATCAACGAAGTGGCACTTGAATGGGTCCCCCCTCGCCCTCGCCCTCGCCCCCGCCCCAAATTGAGTGATTTACCGACTGACTTTTTTCTTCTGTTTCTTCCAGGCGTCACAATGCGGGAGAAGAAGGGAGGAGCCCTGCAAAAGCTCAAGAAGAGGCTATCCCATAGCTTTGGGCGATTAAGTGAGTAGAAAACATCATCTTCAATATGGTATATTATTTATTGGGGATCTATTAAGTATTTATGGGAGAACCAAGGCCATATGCGGCAAAAACAAAGAATATTCCACAGGAATTTTGGAGAGAACTGCCTTGTGGGTGCAGTTTGAGCACCACAATCGTTGGCTTATCTGATAGATACATACATGTATCTTTGTATTTGTCTTTTTTTTACAATTGTTTGATATTCATGCAAAGCTTCAGAAAACTTGTTTTTCTGTCTCTGAAGGCAGGCGTTGGGCCCCTCGCATTAAATCGGAAAATGTCAAATGTTGAATGAATCATTCATTCAGTCATTCATTCAAATGTGAGTGTTGAAGGAAAAACCCCTAAAGAAATAGAAAAATCACCACAGAATGGTGGAAGTATCAAAAACATACAATAATTGCAAAAAATAACATACAAAATTTATAAAATTAAAAACAACAAAAATAATAAAAAATGTTGTTGTAAAAACATGCAGAAAGACTGCAAAAAATAAAAAAAAATATTAAAATACAGAAAAAAATATATTGAATTAATTGAAAAGAAAAGATTATATTTTTTAATTGTAAAATCATATGGAAAACACTTGCAGAGAGACTTAAATTCAATAAATAAAAAAATTATTAAAAAACCAAATAAAAATATATCAAATTAATAAAAAAAAAAAAATTTTAATTTTAGTTGTAAAATCAAATGAAAAAATAATAATAATAAAAAAATAAACTATTTAATAAAAAAATATAAAAAATTAAATGGAAAAATAATAAAATTAAATTAAATAAATTCTAAAAAATTCAAAAAACCAAAAAAAAAAAATAAAAATTGAAGCCACACCCAGAGGCTTCCTGCCGCCATTATAGTATATGCCTCAAGCCTTTTAAGGCACCAGACTTTGGACAACCTTTGAAGACAATTCAGATATGAAAATATCACTTGTAAAATATTCAAACTGTCGGCCAAATATGGCCACACTTTTGGCGTTACTCAGGCCCCCCACCCCCCTCCACCCCCTACGCTCCACGGTGTTATGGGAAAATATAACAGCTGTTCATTTGGGGGAACTAGTTTCTGAAAAGACAACGACAGAAACGACCGTTTGTGTGGGGGCGTTGAAAGACAATTAGTCGCATGCCGCATGCCGCAAAATCAAGCGTCCGAAACGGGTTTCGGTTCGAATGTGAGTCACAGACAGAGAAACAGAAACAGAAAAAAAAACAGCAGCCATCAGGCCATCGGGCCATCGGGCCAACAGACCATAACCATATCCCATATCCAATTGGTGCTGCAGTGCGGGGGTTTTTTCCATAAATAAATTCCGCATAAAATGCATGGAATATCTGTAATTAAGGAGCTCTACGATTGGATGCCACACAGTTCCAAAATTTCAATTTACAATTTCCCCCAAAAATATTCTCATCCACACATTCTCTGGCTGTCAATCGCATTCAAGCCCCCTCCAACCCCCCCACATTCCCTATCCAAAAAAAGAGAGTGCATTCAATTACCGCACGAACGACACAGCCATCAAAATGCTGGACTTTTTAGGCCACTAATAGCCTTTTGGCCAACAATTGAGAGAGAACAAAAAAATCGAACTGAAAATTTGTTTTACATTGCAATTTTTGTATCTTTTGTGGTTGCACCGAAGGAGAGAGGAGTAGAAAAAAAAACTCTGCTGTGTTTTGTTTTTTTTTTTTTGTGGCATTGTGTTTTTGACGCCGAAAGAGCTCTCTTCCTCTCTCCCTGGAGGATTGCTGGATGCTCTGGCAGGTAGAGGGGTTCAGGCCGGAATCCATAACTTCTGGCATTTGAAAGCTGCAAAAAAAATCGAACAAAAACGTAGGAACACTACAGCGAATATTGAGTGGATTTTTGAAGGCAGGTTCTGGTGTTAAAGGTGCTTAAAGAAGTCTTTTTTTGGGGGGAAAAAATTAACCAGAAGGGGGGTATTTTTTGTAGTTTTGTAGCCTATAAAAATGTGGCACTAAATAATATTTTGGAGACACTTTTCCCCGTACATAAGCCTGGTTTTTGTGATATTTAAAAACCCCCAACTACAGATTGAAGCCATGCCACTTTTGATATTTTTTGTAGTTTTGGACAATGAAATTCTGCCTATTTATTTGTAGAACTAAAGAATATTTTTCCCATCAAATTGGAGACTCTTTCAGCATAATTTAGCCTAGTTTTTGTGATATTTAAAAACCCCCAACTACAGATTGAAGCCACTCCACTTTTAGGGGCACAAATGTACCTAAAAGTGTGATATTTTTTCGTTATATTGTTGTCTTGAGGAAAAGTAGCAATAAAGAATATTTTGGCCCTCCAATGGGAGACATTTTCCCCGTACTTAAACCCCTAGAACCCATAGAACAATCCACCATGTTCCTCCTTTCTTTCAAGGTCTAAATATGGGCTTCCCTTACACATTTCGAATGCATTTCCCCCCTTGCTAAATCAAATTCGTGTTCCTATACGAGTACTCATGCCCCGTTTCACCGCCATCATTCATTCAGCAATTTCATCAACTGTTCATTGATCAATTTTCCATTGAAGAGAACAAACAAAAAGTATAAGTTTTCCTCACAATTTTCCATCATTCCGCCACACAGACAATTTGTCAGCGTCTTGTACGCGAGGAGTACTTCTCTCTCTCTCTCTCTCTCTGTGTGTGTGTGTGTGTGTCTCACAATTGAGCAATCCTTCAAGTGGAAGAAACAATTTCAATTGCAACTTTGATGCCTTCCCCCAGAAAGAATTTCTCACGATCCTGATGCCATTTTGGGGCAGCAGCAGCGGCGGCAGCGGTGGCAGCGGCAGCTCATAAATGTTGCAGTTGCAGAAACGAAAACTCTTTGCTGGCTGCAAGTTTAAATGTTTTCATTGCATTATTGAAGAGTTTTTCTGCAGCGAGGCAGGAGGCAGCGGCAGGAGGCAGGAGACGGGAGGCAGCATCAACATCTGTCGGTGGAAAGAATGTCACTCAAGTGGCAGCAACAACTGCTGGCCAAGTTTGCTGTCAAGGCTATTAGCAGGGAGATTGAGAGATGGAGAGACACGAGACTTGTTTGTCGCTCGTCGGGCGGCAGGGAATTCGTAATCGGAGTCGCCTCCGTGCGGATTTTACTCTGCTTAAGCCATCGTTAATTGCAGACTTGTTTTCTTTCAGCTTCTCTCCTTGCCTCTTCCTCTTCTAATTTTATTTTAATTATGTTTCTCTGTGCAACGCTCCATCGCTCGGAACCACTTCATTTCCTTGGCCATAAAACGCCCATGAAAACGCCAAGTAGTGAAATCACTTAGAGCCAGAGAATTTCCACTCTCTCGTTTAGTTCTGATGAGTGCAGCACAGCAGTGCAGCATTCCAAAGACCCACTAGAAACCAGAAATATATACATCTATATATACAAATATATACGTACTATATACTTCTACAGATCGTGATTTCTTTGTTCTGTCCCTCTTGGGGCCTGCCTTCTTTTTCTTTCCTTTTGTGGCGATAACTATTCGTATAGAATGATTCGTATGATTCATCTGTGGTACCCATTCTGCGGTCTCTTTTGACTTCTTTGAGACGATGATATTTATACGCTCTTGAGACGGCAGACCCGCTGTAATTGGTTTACCCCTCCCCCTTCTTCTGTCGCTCTTTTGTGATTATTATTGCTTCCGTTTAAATACTGCTATTTTTTTGTGTTCACTCTTTTTTTTTTCGCTGATGAAAAAGTGCTTCACTAGACGATGTTCTTGCGGAAAACTAGAGCCACATTTTGTTCTATGATCGTGGACATATATTTTCAATCAAAGCTTTTTTTTATAATTTTATTATTAATATTTTTGATATAATAATTTAAAACAATTTGCATTAATGTATTTTTTACCGTAGACAATGTATTTTTTTTTCGATATTGTTTTTTTTATTTTTTTATATATTGTTTTTTTTATTAATATTGTGTGTTTAATATTTTTCTTTATTTATTTTTTTTTAATATTATTTTTTTATCTTTTTTTAATATTTTTTTTTAAAATTTTTTTTTGTATATTTGCTTATATGTATATATATATTTTTTTTTAAATTTTTTTATATATACTTTTATTTAAGTTAATTTTTTTAGTTTGTTTAACATTTTTTTTATATATATTTTAATTTTTTTTTTAAATATATTTTGAATTTATATTTGTTTAGCTTTTTCTAATTTTTTTGTTTATTTTTGTTGTATATATTTTTTTTTATATTAATTTATCACCTGGAAAATCATTTGTTTTTTTAATATCAACCGAAAAACTCTAGACGTCATATTTCTACAGCATTTTCTTGAAATTCGCATAGGGTTTTCACCTTAAAAAGGTGTTCTATAGTACATAATTCTCCGACATGTCCCATTTGCTGCTTAAACTATCACAAATAAAGCCGAGAGCCGTGCTGTTCTCCATCGTAGGACTTCAGGCAGGAGGACTGTGGGCTTCTGTCTGCCCACGCCTCTAGGAACCCTTGAATCCATACGTAACATCCAGATAAACCCACATTCCGGCTCGAATGTACGGCTAGAAGCCACTCTGGCCCACAAATCTATGGCCGAGAGCCACTTGGAGCCTCTAGCATCGCATTCCGCTCTAATAAAAACTAGAAAATCCTTTAGTTCAAGTGAGAAATCTTGTATTTATTTGCGAGTAGACCAACAATTGTGACACTCCACTCCACTCCACTCCACTCCACTCCACTCCACTCCTGATGCTGGGAGATGAAGTTGCAGCTGAAGTGAGAGCTAGAGATTCCAGCGAGAGCGAGGAGATATCTTGAGATGTTTGGCTTGGTTGGGTCCTTTTGCTCCTTTTGCTCCTTTCGTGTAAATATTTCATAGAGTCCAGTGTCCGACTTTGACACTTGGTTTTGTGCCGCACAGAGGAGGCAGCCACATCGTGGGCTCCATCCTGTGTCGCCTCATCGTCATCATCGCCATCATCATCATCGTCTTGAT